GAAACTGGTCAGAATTGAAGGAATGATGGATGGCGCTAAAAACAGGGACATTCTTGAGGGAAACCTGTTTCAGTCTTCCAGAGATTTGAGACTGGGACGGAGGTTCACCTTCCAGCAGGACAATGACCCTAAGCATACTGCTAAAGCAACACTTGAGTAGTTTAAGGGGAAACATTGAAATGTCTTGAAATGGCCTAGTCAAAGCCCAGACCTCAATCCAATTGAGAATCTGTGGAATGACTTAAAGATTGCTGTACACCAGCGGAACCCATCCAACTTGAAGGAGCTGGAGCAGTTTTGCCTTGATAAATGGGCAAAAAACCCAGTGGCTAGATGTGCCAAGCTTATAGAGACATACCCCAAGAGACTTGCAGCTGTAATTGCTGCAAAATGTGGCTCTATAAAGTATTGACGTTGGGGAGGTGAATAGTTATATACGCTCAATTTCAGTTTTTTGGTTTCTCAATAACAAATATTTTGCATCTTCAAAGTTGTAGGCATATTGAGTAAATCAAAGGATACAAACCCCCCAAAAAATCTATTTTAATTCCAGGTTGTAAGGCAACAAAATAGGAAGTATGCCAAGGGGGGTGAATACTTTCGCAAGCCACTGTACATTGTGTCATTGAACACTGGTCACTTTAATAATGATTACATATTGTTTTACTCACTTCATATGTATATACTGTATTCCGGTCATGACTCATCCTATATAACTACTGCTGTACACACCTTTTCTATTCACATACTGTCCATACTGTCTATACACCCCATCATAGACAAATATACAGTTGAAGTCGGAAGTTTACATACACTTAGGTTGGAGTCACTAAAACTCGTTTTTCAACCACTCCACACATTTCTTGTTAACAAACTATAGTTTTTCTACTTTGTGCATGACCAAGCTTGGTCGCAAATGGATCTTCCAAATGGACAATGACCTCAAGCATACTTCCAAAGTTATGACAAAATGGCTTAAGGACAACAAAGTCAAGGTATTGGAGTGGCCATCACAAAGCCCTGACCTCAATCCTATTGAAAATGTGTGGGCAGAACTGAAAAAGCGTGTGCGAGCAAGGAGGCCTACAAACCTGACTCAGTTACACCAGCTCTGTCAGGAGGAATGGGCCAAAATTCACCCAACTTATTGTGGGAAGCTTGTGGAAGGCTACCTGAAACGTTTGACCCAAGTTAAACAATTTAAAGGCAATGCTACCAAATACTAATTTGTGTGTATTATTATTAGGTATTACTGCAATGTTGGAGCTAGAAACATAAGCATTGGGCTGCACCTGCGATAACATCTGCAAAATATGTGTACGTGACCAAAAATGTGATTTGAATAGCAGTGTTCATGCATCTAACGGTCTAATTATTTATTTACTTATTTTTTATCTTTATTCACCTCTCCTTTCAGCCTTCCCTCCCTCTCGTGCTCATTTAGTAGGCTATATTATACACAGTGAGAGCACCAACACTGCTTCATTACGGAACGTATCCAAGCTAAAAGTAAATACATACAGTGGGGAAAAAAAGTATTTAGTCAGCCACCAATTGTGCATGTTCTCCCACTTAAAACGATGAGAGAGGCCTGTAATTTTCATCATAGGTAATCACATTGTAGGATTTTTAATGAATTTATTTGCAAATTATGGTGGAAAATAAGTATTTGGTCACCTACAAACAAGCAAGATTTCTGGCTCTCACAGACCTGTAACTTCTTCTTTAAGAGGCTCCTCTGTCCTCCACTCGTTACCTGTATTGAAGGCACCTGTTTGAACTTGTTATCAGTATAAAAGACACCTGTCCACAACCTCAAACAGTCACACTCCAAACTCCACTATGGCCAAGACCAAAGAGCTGTCAAAGGACACCAGAAACAAAATTGTAGACCTGCACCAGGCTGGGAAGACTGAATCTGCAATAGGTAAGCAGCTTGGTTTGAAGAAATCAACTGTGGGAGCAATTATTAGGAAATGGAAGACATACAAGACCACTGATAATCTCCCTCGATCTGGGGCTCCACGCAAGATCTCACCCCGTGGGGTCAAAATGATCACAAGAACGGTGAGCAAAAATCCCAGAACCACACGGGGGACCTAGTGAATGACCTGCAGAGAGCTGGGACCAAAGTAACAAAGCCTACCATCAGTAACACACTACGCCGTCAGGGAATCAAATCCTGCAGTGCCAGACGTGTCCCCCTGCTTAAGCCAGTACATGTCCAGGCCCGTCTGAAGTTTGCTAGAGTGCATTTGGATGATCCAGAAGAGGATTGGGAGAATGTCATATGGTCAGATGAAACCAAAATATAACTTTAGGGTAAAAACTCAACTTGTCGTGTTTGGAGGACAAAGAATGCTGAGTTGCATCCAAAGAACACCATACCTACTGTGAAGCATGGGGGTGGAAACATCATGCTTTTGGGCTGTTTTTCTGCAAAGGGACCAGGACGACTGATCCGTGTAAAGGAAAGAATGAATGGGGCCATGTATCGTGAGATTTTGAGTGAAAACCTCCTTCCATCAGCAAGGGCATTGAAGATGAAACGTGGCTGGGTCTTTCAGCATGACAATGATCCCAAACACACCGCCCGGGCAACGAAGGAGTGGCTTCGTAAGAAGCATTTCAAGGTCCTGGAGTGGCCTAGCCAGTCTCCAGATCTCAACCCCATAGAAAATCTTTGGAGGGAGTTGAAAGTCCGTGTTGCCCAGCGACAGCCCCAAAACATCACTGCTCTAGAGGAGATCTGCATGGAGGAATGGGCCAAAATACCAGCAACAGTGTGTGAAAACCTTGTGAAGACTTACAGAAAACGTTTGACCTGTGTCATTGCCAACAAAGGGTATATAACAAAGTATTGAGAAACTTTTGTTATTGACCAAATACTTATTTTCCACCATAATTTGCAAATAAATTCATTAAAAATCCTACAATGTGATTTTCTGGATTGTTTTTCTCATTTTTTCTGTCATAGTTGACGTGTACCTATGAAGAAAATTACAGGCCTCTCTCTCTTTTTAAGTGGGAGAACTTGCACAATTGGTGGCTGACTAAATACTTTTTTCCCCACTGTAGCTAAGACAAAATATAATTAATAAAAATCATTCTGTACAGATCACGCCAGTCATTCATATGAATTGTTATAAAAGAGAGAGGGAGAGAGAGAGGGAGGGAGAGAGAGGAATAGAGAGAGGAAGAGAGAGAGAGAGAGAGAGAGGGAGAGAGAGAGAGAGGAACAGAGAGAGGGAGAGAGAGAGGAAGAGAGAGAGAGGGAGAGGGAGAGAGAGAGGAACAGAGAGAGGGAGAGAGAGAGGAAGAGAGAGAGAGGGAGAGAGAGAGGGAGAGAGAGAGAGAGAGGGAGAGAATGTGTGTGCGTGCATGAGTGTGCGTGTGTGTGATTCTTTGTGCCGGTGCCAGAGGTTAGGTACAGGTCGTTCCTCAACTGTAAAGCCATGCCAACTGGGGTGTCTACAGGCAAGACCACATGGGGATGGTAGTTCAGATTGTACCTTTGGCCAAGATACTTCACCATAAGTTAACCCTTTACCTCCTCATAAATAACTCTGTTTTGTGAGACAAAAAAAAACATGTACTGTCTAGACAAAAAAGTTTAATACAAACTAGATTGAATTGCAGAGGGGGGAAAATCCTGCTACATAGAATTGTTGTCCACAATTTTATCAATTATATGCAACAGATGCTGGAAATGCATTATAAAAAAAATATCCCACAGATTCTGTTTGTCACTACTCATTGCGTTGATAGGCATGAACTACTTCCAGGACAGGGCCTGGTTGTGGTCCTCTGTGACTGAAGAGGGCTCACCTTGGTTTGGATAAAATAAGCCCGATGCGTGTGACAAAGCATACAATGTGAAGGTCAACTGAGCCAGCAATGCTTGGGAATTGAGTATCACTGTTTTATTTTATTTTATTCACCTTTATTTAACCAGGTAAGCCAGTTGAGAACAAGTTCTCATTTACAACTGCAACCTGGCCAAGATAAAGCAAAGCAAAGCTGTTGTTATGAACTTTGAACTCCACGCTCTTGGGTTGGATCAGAGAAGTGACCAACAGCAGGGGAAAGCAGATGGCATGATATATGGACTGTGATGACAGGACAAAATGAGACTTGTTTTACATGTACAGTACCTCATCTTGACTTCTTGCCTCTCTCTATTTTTCCACCTCTCACATATTATCTCTTCCCTATCTCCTGCGTTTATTTTCTTATCTCTCCATTTCATTCCTTTCTTCTTACCCTCATACTCCCTCTGTATTCCTCCTCTCCGGTTCTTTCTCATCTCTCTCTCTTCCACCCTAGTCCCTATCACAAGCTCTTGAGAATGAATGTATACTAATGTAAAAACAATTACAATCGATATTTACAACAAATACTAAATCAATCTCTATTGTGAATCAATGAATAGTGAGCTGTGTCTCATGTGTTTCACCATAAACATAGTGACCTTGCTGTTATCTGGTGCGTATGGACTGTGTCATAGACCATATTGTGTAAGCAAACATACAGATGTAGGAACTTAATTTGATCACTCTTTTGTTGCTGAGAATTTTCCTGTGTCGCAGGAAATGCAGATGAGCTTTGTGATTTACATAGATTCACTGAAAATCCACACTAACACACGGTTATATTAATAGCATTGCACTTTTCATGTAACCCACTTTTTTGTCCAGCTAATAGTCTAACCACCGCTCAAGCTACATTATGGACTAAACATTCAAATCCTGTTGCTGGAGAATTATTTTGCTACGACAATGCTGGTCAAATTAAGATCCTATATCTGTACATGGCCCCACATGGCCTTGGCAAGTATAATAATAATAATAGGTAACAAAAATGCTAGGAGTCAGGATTGGATATGTAGTTATTATTGCAACAGGGAAGTAAAACATGCAGTATTCAGGCTTTATTGAATTATCCCCCCCCCCCCCCCCCCCCCCCCCCCCATTGTGATTAGCACATGAGCCGTTCACATCTTAGCCCTGGGGGGGGGCGATGTTGAGCGAGTTCAAAAATGTCTCTAACGTCAAGAGGTACTCCTCCGGGTGATAGCGTAGATGAGCGGCGTGCACAGACTCCTTCCACTTCCTGGTTTCCACAGCAACGCCCCGCTTCCTCCAGAAGTCGATGACCGCCTCCATGGCGACGGGGTCACACAGCGCATCATTCTCGCAGAAGAAGAAGAGCGCCGGGGCGGTGACGGGGCTGTTGTAGAAGACCTGGACTGCGTTGTCGTAGTAGTGCACCGTCTGGGACTTGAAGAGCCAGAAGTATAGCATAGCGGTGTATCGCACCAGGGGCTCGATACGAGGGAACAGGGTCCTGCCCAGGCCTGAGGCACACACAGACACACACACAGATTATTTTATTTACAGATCAAGGTTAATTACATTTACATTCTTGTTAAATCAATTGGATAAACCTATGTCATTTCCCCATACAGTAAACACGTGTAAAAAAAAAAAAACTCAGCAAATACATTTGAATCCAATCAAACATTGTAGAGGAGATAAGGTGGGAGCATGATTACTAGGTCTTCAACACACACAGCAACATTGTGACAAATACAGATGCAAAGTGCAGACCTTTTCTCTGTCACACACCCACACACACACACACACACACACACACTGACCCACATACACACACACATATATACACACACACCGTCTCAGTAACAGATCCCTCTCCTTTCTCAGAGTAATAATCCAAACCGACAATCCTACCTCCTTTCCTTCCCCTTTCTCTCACCTGTAGCCATATGCTCCAGCGACCCAACCACCAGGCTGTCATACACATGTCCTACGACCTGTTGGGCCAGGCCCGGGTACTTGTGTGGCTCCCTGACCATCTGGCTAAGCAGCTGGGTGAAGGTGTACCCGCCAATGGAGAAGGTGTGGACCAGAAGGGGGCGCCCTTTGAAACATGGGTCGTCCAGGATCTCCAGGACCTCGGCCCCATACTCCAGCCCCCAGCGAGGCCACAGGAAGTGCCACACAGCACTCTCCACAGATAGGATGTCCAGGCCGCGTTCCAGGTAGAGGTCCCGGTACTTCGCCATGGCCCCTGGTTTGGCGCCAAGCCAAGGGAGGAGCAGGAGGAGGGGACGGGAGGAGGAGGAGGAGGGCGAGGATGGAGAGAGGGTTGGTACATCCGAAGCGGAAGGAGTCAGAGTTGAGGAAACGGTGGGGTGAGAGGGCGTGTCTGAGAGAAAGGGGGTGGAGAGGGAATAGGAGGGAAGAGGAGCGTCTAGATGGGAGGATAAGGAGGGGGTGGGGGAGATGGTGGGAGGAGAGGGGGAGGGGGTATCGCCCCCTGGTGTCCGTCTGGTGTAGTAGTAGGTGATGCTTCTGGTGACTCTCTGGGCTATGACCCGCCCCTCTCCCACTAGCGTAGACATGTCTGAGTGGGAGTTACTGTGGGGAGGAAAAAGGGCCAGAATTAGAGCAGGATTGGAAGATTAGTTACAGAGGGGAAAAATTGCCTGTCTGTGCCATCATGCCAACACTTTGTCACTCATTGTCATGTTTGGCTTGATGAGGACAGGAGTTGGCAAGACCACAAACAGATCAGGGACCAGGCCAGGAAATATTAGCAAAACAAAAAATACTAAAAATTAACTTGAGGCATAACCAATATACCTCAAGTGAAATTAATGTATACCCTACATACACAGTCATGTGCACACATACACACATGCAAGGTTGTGGGATCCAGCTTAGGGGGATCAGGCTGGCAGCTGACTCATTCAGTTAGAGCATAGATAGTAGTTTACAGATACAGACTCAGTTGGTTGTGCAGTTACAGTGTTGTAATGAAGCTATCATGAGACAGTCTAGACAAGTTGCATTGGTCCAGGCACGTGAACAGATAGGGAATTTACCTGTGCAAAGCACATGCACCTTTGCCCTTCCAAAGTGCCCTTTTTGGTGGTGGTATAATTTCCAAAAAATGTTTTTTTTTTTTTTTTTTTAAATTTGTAGTGGTTGTTCTGAACCCACTGCCTGCAATTTGTCTTTAAATTCTCATCTATGCTTCAGTACCAAAAAGTTGTGCATCTTGATTGTTGACCAGTCATCAGATTTGGTGTGCAAAGGCGGTTTAATTTCCTCCAGTTTTACCTGGCAAAAACAGAATAGGCCTACGTTTATCATCCATATAAAATACAGTTTAGCAATCTACTATGGACGCATCTTTGCCAGAACAATAGGCTACCTGGCGATTTAATTGATTATTTTCATTTTTCAGATAGGCCTAGTTTGGTTGGCTACTGGCTATATGTCTAAAGATATGCAGCTGTAACATCGCACTGCCTTCAATATTGTGGGTTTCACTGGGGACGGGGGGACATGTCAAAGGTGTGCTTTAGGATCATGTGGACGCCTCCCAGCACTTGGGTAGGCTGTTTGGAGTGTTTATCAACTGGATAAAAAAATATATGTCCCCCCCACTTCTAAAACCAAAGTTGCGCCCCTGCTTGCAACTGTATTACAATATTTGTGAGGAAGAACAGGGCTACCCGGCTGGCAACAAGCATTCTGTAGGCAGGCGGCCCTTCAAAGTGATGGGGCGGTGCAGACAGAACATGCTTTACATCCGATCCTGCAACCTCTGCTACAAGTAAGCCATGTGATTCTGCTTGCTCTGGACTCCAGAGAAGTGACATGATATATCCCTAGTTGATTCTGCTTGCTCTGGACTCAAGAGAAGTGACATGATATATCCCTAGTTGATTCTGCTTGCTCTGGACTCCAGAGAAGTGACCTGATATATCCCTAGTTGATACTGGCTGCTAACATGAATGACTTTCAGGTCCAAATGCTGGTGTAAAACACAGTTTATTTCTGTAGCCTATCTTGCATTTTGAAAATGCATAACCGTTTGCAACCGTTTATGGCTGTAATGACAGGCTACATCTGTGCAGAGATTGTGCGCGCATGTACTTTTTCAAAAAGTTTGAGAAACACTGGGATACATGATAGTGGCAACAAATGGAGTTGTGTTCATTATAGTAGGCTACAGTATTTCTTACAATCTTCTATTTTGACTGTAATTGTGTTGGTCATTGTTAATAAGTGCAGCATTTATTCCAGTTAAAAATAGTTTTGCAAAATACTTTATCCCTCAGAATGAGCTGCTTTACAGCATTGCTAGCTAGCTACATGCAGCAATAACGCTGTTGTTGGATCGGTTTCATCCAATAGCTAGCTAGCTAACATAATGAAATCAGTAAATTAGCTATTTTTCCCTACCTGACCTTTACATAGCTTAGCTAGCTAGCTATCAATAATATATTTTCCATATGAAACTGCAATTGGACCTCCAAAATGTAGTGTAGGCAAGGTAATCTGGCTAGGTTAGCTAGCTTGGAATTTCTGGCAACTAGCTAGCTATCCAAAAACGTCAGCTAGCTTCTCAGGTAGCCTTAAAAGCTAGCAAGGTTTATATTGGACTTATAGCAAGTAGGCTGTCAACTGAAATGATTTGCTGTCCGGTTATTTGACTAACATTTGTGAGCTAAATCGAGGAGCTTGATCTTTGTGATAGCCAGCTAGCTAGCTAAGTTAACATGTCCTTAGCTGCCAAGTTAAATGAGCAGGTGTACTAGCTAGTAGCTAGCTACTCACTAGCTAGTTCTTATTTTTCTTTTAGGTTGTGTGAGTTAGCTGTCAAGGGGCCACTACTGAGTACTCTAGCTAGCTAACTATAGCTAACGCTATTTGATAAACGTTTTATGTTTGTAGCTATCTAGTAACAGTGCTATGTAGATATATATGTGTGCTTGGCTAGTGTTCTATTATAGCTAGCTAGCTAGTTACCTAGCCAAATAATGTGTGTTAGCTTGGCAAACATTAGCATGTAGCTGACGTTACTGTATAGACGAGAAGGCGGGAAGAGTTTGTGCCACTTGACATTTAAGGTAAAGTCTCCCTCTTTACTTTTTTTTTGTTAAAAACATAGCTGTTTTAGTAGGGCATGTCATAATAATGTTGTATGCCATTCCCCTGTTGACAATAGGACATGTTACTACATGATTCCATATGTGTTATTTCATCGTTTTGATGTCTTCACTATTATTCTACAATGTAGAAAATAGTAACAATAAAGAAAAACCCTTGAATGAGTAGGTGTTCTAAAACTTTTGACTCGTTGTGTACATTACTGTATTCTAATTTAATGTGCTGTATTGTGCTAACTGTACTGTACTATACAAATTAAAAGACAATTTCAATATTTAGGACCCTAATCATATAAATGCCATGTTATAGAAGGGTGAAGACACTTTTTTTGAAATATCACTATGTTTTGAGTAACTTCCCGCAGCAGCCGTTGTCTTCCTGAGATGGAAATAGTAACAAAGGCTCCAAAAACAAGCTGCAAAGTTCTCGTTATCATGGTTCATGTCTGTAGGTGTCGGTAAGTTTTGCAGTCTTGAGACAATATCTGACATACAAGTTTGCGCATGAAGTTTCAAATGACACAATTTTTGTTCTATATCGTGGAGCTCCGCCCCATAGGGGAGCTCTGCTCCTATTGGTTTACCCCGCTGCCTAGGCAGCGAACAGCCTGAGACAAAATTATGCACACACCTGCAGCCAATAGGAGTACAGGTGTCCCTATAAGAGGGGACGCTTCCCCTCAATCAGCCTCCCATTATCTTCAACGACTGGACTGGACTGAAGAAGCCGATAAGAAGACGAAGACTCAGGACGAAGAAAACGCAGTCGATTTTCCAGATCATCGACGTCGTCTTAAAATGAGCACACCAGGAGATTTTCCACCCCCAAATGCTATTTTCAGAGCTCAATATCGCTGTTTTTCTATGGTGGCTGCTGACCCCCACAACTTATGTTTTGTGTGTCTAGGGTCACAGCACGCCAGGGACGGCCTCATAGATCCTCCACTATGCGCCAGCTGCGCCCTCCTTTCATTGAAAGAGAGGAAGCAGCGTTGGGCATTTTTTATCAGTGTTAGCCTCAGCTTCTGAGGCATCATCTGAGGGCGCTGACTCAGGAGATGACAGGGATATTGGGGAAGAGATGGATATTCCAGCAGAACAATTCATCCCTCTGACCCATGATTTTAAGACCCCATTTCCATTGGAAAGGGCGAGGTCTTTTTCATCCCTGGGCGATGATGATGCGGGCTCTGAGAATTCAGCAGCCACATCATACGCCACAGCCTCTCTGCGCTCTGACTTTCCAGGGCTCATCGAGAGGGCTGCCGAGCGCCTGCAGATTAAGCTGCCCCCCATTCCCTCCAACCCGGAAGTGGATATGATGGAGGGCGGTCCTTATTCCAGGCCCAGGAGGGCGGCGGAGCCTCTGGGACCGACCATGCCCTCGCTTGGTAAGTATGTGGAGGGCTCATGGGAGGCACCTTTAGAGGCGCGTCCGCCGGCTAAGGCATACCTCCCATTCACCAGAGTATAAGGCAGACAGCAGGGCTTTTCAAGGGGAATCCCTAGGCTCGAGAGCGCCCTGGCTGCGTATCTCGTGCCGGGTTCGAGTCCCTGGCCCTCGTCCAAGAAAGCCGTTCTACCCACACAGAAGGACCGACTCACAGCACAGCTGGTTGAGAAGTCCTTCGTGTTGGGAGCCCAGGCCGTTGCAGCGGCGAATAATATTGCCCTCCTAGCAGCCTCTCTGTCCCGCCTAACAACGGGTAAGTCTGAGCTCACTGGGGAGGAAGTGGATGAGGCGTCCAGAATTTCTGCCGCTATTCTCCACTTAACGCAGGCATCAGCTGTGTGTGCGGGGAGGTCCATGGCCACTTCAGTGGTGGTGGAACGACACCTTTGACTGTCTATGACAGCCATGAAAGAGACAGACGGGGGCGTTCAGTAACGCGGCTCTATCTCTGACGACAGCCTGTTTGGGGTTGCCATCAAAGATGCGATGGAGTGTTTAATGAGGCTTGACGAGGAGAGGAAGCAGCTGGCCAGACACCTGCCACTGGCAGGAAGACTCGGCCCTGCACCAAAACAACCGTCAAGCTCCACTGCCTCAAGTAGACAGGGGTCTACAGCGAGGCGTCGTGCCCGGCGCCATGCAGCGACTTCCAGCAGCAGAGAAGCGGGCCCCGCCCCTCCGGCGGAGCCAGAGGTCCCGACCGTGCCGTTGACGAGAGAGGTCGTCAGAGCGTCTTCTTGGAAGCACCCGAAGGGTGGCCAGAAGAGATGGCACCTATGACGTGGCGAGGGGGCGAGAATGGGAGATGGCACAGTGGCAGGTACGACTGTGCCCACTATTCCCCCCCACCCTTCTGTTGAGGGTATGGAGGGAACTGTTGTTGTTGATGTGTTGAATAAAGAGTTGGCTCCAATTGACTATGTCACAAGAGCGCCCCTTTTCCATGATACATCCGAGAACGTTCAAGCTCCTTCACTCTCTCTCTCTC